CAGAAAATACATACGAAAATGAACATATACTTGAATTAAGAACTTATTGTTATTTAAAAAAAAAAAGATATAGTCTGAGATTTTTTCTCATTCTTTTTGACTTACGTTACCTTTTAGTTCACTCTCATAAAGCAATAAATAGATGATACTTACTTTATAGATATATTTGATTTTGGAATTTTTAAGATGATAACATCTGATGTTGCCTTAGAAGAGGTACGAAAAATATTTAAAGGAAAAAAGGTACTCATCATTGGAGATTCGATCTGTAGAGAAATCTACAAAGATCTCTGTTGCTTATTAAGCGGAAAAGACCGATTATTAAGTATTGATGAATTACGTTTCAACAGACGCATTAATAATAAAACATTATTTGATCATGAAATTATCGAATGTTGTACAATTGATCGTACTAATAGCATCAACAACGTTGAAAAAAGAAAATTTTGTTCAGCTGAATATGATTATCATTTAGATTATTGGTTCTGTAGTCGTGTGTGGAATAGATCAATTAGTAATTCATTATCTTATATTGAACAATATAATTATATTTTTATGCAAAGTATAATATGGGATCTCAGTCGTTACAATGATCGCTACGGAAAATTTTACTTAGAAAATCTTGATGTTTGTTTATCAAATATGAAAAAAATCAATAAAAATATTACGTGGATCATTATTCCACCATCAGATTCTTATAATAATTTAAATAAACATATATTACAAATGCATTTACCAATTTTGGAAATATTAAAATTCTATGATTGTGCATCGCTAGATTTATATCATTTAACAGTGTATGAATAAACTAGTTTGTATGTTTTTTCTCATATCGAGATGATCATGAAATTTAACTGATCAATCATAACTTCATTGAAGAGATCAGTTGTTGATATTATAATGTTTGTTCGAATATTCAAATATTCATTGAGATATGTCGCACTTATTAAAAAAAAGAATACTATAATCTTATAGAAGAACGGAAATCTCTCATCCCATTTCCAACGTTTTTTTTATCTAACATCATTATATTATCTTTCTATATTGATTATAATTTTTTCATCTTATTTTCACTGTTTAATAATGCCTTTTCAAATATTTTCTGTTGATACATCTGTATTACCAGATAATGTACTTTCGCTGGTCGATGATGCTTTTTATAAAATGGTCGAAGTTGTAGCAGGACCTGCCGAAGCTCAATTATTAGAGTTTCAAGGTGTTCGAGGAGTGTACTCTTTTCTCAATACCGATGATGTATTTGGTATTCTTGCACTTAAATGTTCAACATTAACCAATATTAAAAAATTAATCTGTTTTGAAATTGATGATGGTGATGTTAATACAGCTATAATAAAACCAGGTTGTCGAAGTAACATTCGTTATTTACATCAATTACTCTCACAAAGACATGATGAACATATGAAACAAAACAAATACAAATCCAGTGGAAATAAACAATCACAATTAACAAAAAATAATGATACAAGTTTAAATATTTCTCAAGATCTATCTCAAGCTTCTTCAACATCTACAACTCAATAACAATCTACAGGAACATCAGTTTAGTTTTTTATGTAACTTGGATTTTTTCTGATGTTGAAAGATTATATTGTTGTCGAATATTTATGGTACAGAAAATAAAAAAATATGAAATTATCCGTCGTTTTTATTTTTAATAAATGTTTTAAAAGAATTTGCTATTGAAAGAAATGTTCATTCCGTATTTCCTTATAGTGTCAAAAGACTAAAAAGTCCAGATATTATCTAGGGGCAACTGTAAGTCTTTTTTAGAAACATTTTTTGCAAAAAAAAGTGTTGGAAATATGCTTTTCGGATTCCTTTTCTCGAGCATTTATTTACATGCTTTTTTAATATCTATATCCACTGTGAATAGAATTTCTTAATTAGTTATTTGTTTTGATTTAGACGTGGTAAATCAAATGGACCATCCTGATTTTATTCTAAATACATTAAATGAATGGTGCGAAAAGAATTTGAAATTGAACAATAAGACCTTCATTGAAAATGAAGATTTTAAACTTCTACTTACACAAGGTGCATCAGAAGGTGTTTGTATTATATGTTCATGTCAAGTAAAATTTCATCTTACACGTGTTCGTCAACATTTTTCGTTAAGTAACTATTACAAACATTTAAAGTCGAATAAATGTGCAATGATTAAGAAAAAAAAAATGATTAATATTAATAATGATAATCGATTAAATATAAATAGTGATCATGATTCATCCGATGATGAAATATCAGACGCTGCTGGTTCACCTCAACGAAAACGATTAAAAACATGAACAGTTTTTTTTTATTATAAATAGTTGCAAAAAATTGTTTGTTTTAGTTTTGATTAGATTTTGTCAATTAACTTAAAACGTTTTTTTTTACTCGTATGATATTTATAAATCTTTCACATCTTTTATGTATATGAATAATAATATTTGTAATAAAATTAGGATATATGAAAAGTATATTCAATAAATAATTAATAAACTTAAACTTGATTTATAGAGAGATTATATACCATCCTATTTCAACGAACTACAGGGATTTTTATGTTTTGTTCTAGACTAATTTCTCTATTCCATGATAAACATCATCAATTGATGATTTTTTTCCCTGTGTTCAGTTGATTTTTCTTTTCTTACAATCATTCGTTATACTTCGCGAAGACAATGGTCATCATATGATTAACGAACTCCCAACGATCGACGGATAACGAAAAAAAAAAGTTGTGTCTACCAAATTTATATATGTTTCTAGGGAATGTGAATTAATTTTGTCTTTTCTTCTTACGATCCAATTAATTCATCTTTTCTATTTTTCTCATCTCTCTTTTTTTGTCTTCAGATAAACATATCAATATAAATATACACGTAACTGTACAATCTCTCTCACATTCGTTATTTACTATTAAACTAAATTTATACAAAATTAAATTTCGTTTTTTT